CGAATTTATTTAACCAGTTCGTTCTTCTTCGATGTAGTAAATAGAAGAAGATGGGTCACGGCACCAAATTGTTAGCTCGTCGTGCGCGAGCTTACGTTTATTTAGTATATCCCCCACCATAACAAGTTCACACTATATATAATATAAAAAAGAGAGGAGAGAAGAAATAAAAGAAAGAAAGACAAAGAGAAGAGAGAAGAGAAACCACCGGTCCAGGGTTTGACCGCTAACAATCATATACATTAATCAGCAATTTTGTTCGATGCACATGATTTTGTCTATAAGAATATCGTGTGACTTATTAATTTCGTCCTTCAGTGTTTTTATAATGACAGATGATTGATCAGTTTGTTCGAACTTTGATGATTCAGCTAATTCTGCAGATTATATATAGGAATTAACATGAGATGACATTGTTTACAAAACATTTGGATATAGACGAGCTAAAGAAGGTAGATAAGACGTAGTTGTGGACTTCGGACTCATGCTTGTAGCCTGCTGCCGCTGTTAAGTTTTCCGATAAGATATTTTAACTGGAAATTGAGATGCTCCTGCCATGTGAGAACCTGTACAATTAGCACATTTAATAGAATTTTGACAATTTGAGATTGTAAGCATGAATTTCTTCACATTTATAACAGTTTAGTTCATTCATTCAACTATGAAGTTTATGGCCGAATTGTTGACATTTAAAGCAACGATCAATTCGTGTAAGCGGTTTATAAGCTGTTGCTGTATACCGGATGCTATCTATGTAAATATAGCCCTTGCTAAAAATCAAATTAGCATCATCTTGAGAATGAAAGTCTATTCGAATTCTTGTATTAGCTTGATCATCACGAAATATTCTTGTAACTCGTTCTGTTGATGTATAACGTTCAGTAATAAGATGTTGAATTGTATCAACATTCCATTCACGAGAAATGCCATTTACCACAACAGAATATGAAATAGGAATTCGACGAGGCAAAATAACTTGAAATGATAAATTACAAATTAAATTTGGCCATGAATTATTTTCGAAGAGCATTTCATAAGTTCATGAGTCATTTGCAAATAGTCAGAGTACATGTTTTGATTGAATATATTTGGAATAAAAAGCTGTACTGATATTTAATTAAATTATTTTGTTTCACAAGATCATTTAACACTTGTAGTTCTGGAGGCTTTTCCTGATTTTCGAATCCTATCTTGAATGGTGGTAAATTTAATTGGTTATTTATTTCATTAATATTGTTGTTCAATGAAGCATTTGTCGTGTATTGTGCTTGTGTCTTTCGTAATCCTTGTAGGTTCTTTCTAGTAGATAATAGTTTAAGTTTTGTTTCAGCTTTCCCAAATAAAAAGTATGAATGAACTCCTTCAGTAGTTACGTCTGGATAAGCCATTTGTTGTATTTGAGTATCTGTTGTTGGTGCTACAAAAGCTTTTCTTTTTTTAATTTTGTTCACTTTTTTAAAACTTGCTGTTTCCCAATCTTCATCATTTACACTTTCATCTGACTTTTTTATTAATATGCTTGTATTTGTATTTGTGTCGGAATGTTCTACTGTTTTGTTTTCATTGTTGATTTCATTGATTTGTTTTCCAGTTTGAATTAAAGCTTTGGACTTCGTAGAAAGCCCATTGGTGAAGAAGAATGAGAGAGACTTTGTCTCTATCTTTCTCATCACCTTTATGATGATTTAATTGAAAAATATTATTTAAGTTTTCCAATAGCTTGTTTTTTTCTTTGATTTTACAAGATAAGAAAATTTGTTAATGACACCTATCTATCTATTTTCATCCTAAAGATTCATTTTTCATATTTGATCTATCAATACATATTCAGAGATCATTTATTTATTTAAAAACAATAGTTCAGCACAAAGTACCAATTGAAAATCTACTCAGAAAGTACTAGAAAGTTTTCAAACTTTTCTTCAGCTAAAATTACTGGAGTGATCCAAGTCAGAGAACGTCGCAGGACCTGCCCTGTAGATAAACTGTTTTCTCCTGCATTGGTTATGTCCATGCAGAAGCAGCACAATGTTTTTTTTTATACATGATCTGCAGGACGGAATTGAAAAAATATCGCACAGAAATAAATGAGCTATATAGAGAATTTGAGATCCACGCAGACTTCCATACAACGTTGATTGGTGAGTTGTTTGGTGTGAAGTGTAATCCTCACATGAAATGTAAGATGACAATAACAACTAGAATAATCTGCTGCTTTCCTCTTTCTTCCAATAGACGAACTACTATATTTATATGAAATAAGTGAAAAAATCCATAAGATGGAAAATTCCATAGGTGATGATACACGAGAACCCATATAAAAAAAACGACTCAAAAATTAGATTAAAATTGTTTATTTTCGGATTAATAATCTGTTATAGTGGCACTATTTTAATCTGATTAAAATCAGATTTTTCACCATTAAATGAAAAAAATTATTTTTATTTTTATTTTTTTAATTTATTTTAATCGATAACCAAAATTTAATCAATTAAAATAATGCCATTGTAATAGATTTTAATCTGATTTTTAGATGTCTTTTTGTGTACTCAAAAAGTGAGTACACTCTAGAATCGGTCAGTATGTCCGGCCGTCCGGCCGTCCGTCCGGCCGGCCGTTTACACGATAACTTTCGAAAGGAGAGTCCGATCACGATGAANTGTTATAACAAAATATGAAGATAGAAACCTGCGCGATTAATATTAAGAAGCTCCAAAACTGTCTAAACCATCTTTTAACTTGCTGAAACTGTTTCTAAACTCTTACAAAAACAACAGGATATATGGCAATAAGTTCTCTGATGCTGTCTTATCTGCTCTTGCTCCTAGGTGCATCATGAAATTCGTCAAAGCCTAGTGTAACAATAGAAAGAATAACTTCCTTGAAATTGGACTTATTAGTAACGTGAAAAATTTTATCGTTTAACTCGGCCTGTTAAATGTCTTCCCATTGTATATAGCAGTTTGGATATAATAGGTGTACTATTTATCTGTAGAATAAAACAAGTTTTTAGTGTAAAATACTGCGTTTTGGAAGAGATACAAGAATTTTCTGTAATAGTGCGAACCTGCAGTTCAAATTTGGTGATTTGAGTAAAAATGCGTCAAAAGAAAGGAATTTTCTTTCAGCTGGCTGTGTTATAATTTATTATTTCATTACTAGTAGAAATTAGAGCTTTCCAACAATTACAAAGCAGATAGTTAGATTTTTATATCTTAGTATGGAGAAAAATAAAAGTGGTAAAAAACCGTAACTTTTATTTAGAAAGTTGGCAGCCTTGGAATTTGTTAATATGTTTCGTGGAAATTTTCTTTTTCATATTTTTCTTATAAAACATTCATTATAAGTTTTGTAGAGAATTTTACAGATCATCTTTCAGTATGACAACAGGAAAAATTTATTGAGATTAAACCTCTGATAAAATATTACCCATTTTTTCTGTATTGCTTAATATTAACAAGTCTTTCTTAATAATTGAAACAATTCATGGCTTCTTGGTTTATGCATAGTGAAACTTTTAAATGGTTCAATGAAATTTCATTAAAAAAAAATATTTGGCAAGATGATTGACTTTTCCCACATAGACGTACCATTAAATATATTTTGAGGATTATATGTAATAATGGACAAACTTTAATAATTTTGATATGTATTTTATATAAAAACTTCAATGAAATGATATTTCTTCATTTTTTTATGTGTAGTTTGACACCAAGGCGTTGCTGGCGGAACCAGAAGACTTGTGTTAAGTATCTTAAGTTAGAGTAGCTTCAAATATTTGTTTATCATTCCAATATATTGACAGATTTATGCAATGCATTGAAATTCTTATACAAACAACAAAATTTCACATTGTCCTTGGCGGTAAATAGCAACATATGCGTAGTGAAGTAGACTTAGAAAACATTGAATTTACATTGCTAATGACTTGAAGTAATACTTCTTTGTAATCGGTGAAGAAGAACTTTACCGAAAATTCGAGTTAGATCAATTAAAAACTGCTGAAAACTTTCTTTGCCTTCAATAGCTAAAAAGAGATATTTTCAACAAAATGCGTAAATCGACAATGTAATTATTATTTTTTTGTAAATCTCTCTGCTTTACCATTACTCTATTTTTGAATTAAAGTACATTGTAAACACTCTTTTGATTCGAAATTAAATAGAAACAACGGTCGGTGTGTTTTTTTAAACGCACGTCATTTGTTGTAAATTGTAAATTTTTTCTGAACCGTACTAGCTTTATACAGTCCAAATTGTGAGTTAGAAATAAGAAGCACAAACTGTATTTCGTCTGAATGGCAGAAAAAGATTCACCCTTCTCCTTCCCATCTGTGAAACTGTTTACAGTTTTACTTTGAATCAAAAGCATACCAAATGGATAAATAATTTTGAATGTATTATATTGGTTCGTAATTTTAAAGAAAATATTGTTCGATATATTATAAAAGAAAAGTGTAAAATAATAAGCTCACACTATTCGTTTGTTATCATTACATAAACACGTTCTGTTCATAAACCTTGATAGGGGTTTTGTGATTCTCTGCAAATTATATAGCCTTGTACTGTTTTCTATATTCATTAATCGTTTTCTTTTAGGTATGTGAACGAAATAAATCCTTAGGCGAATGATTTGTCTTTGCACGTTTTAAACACAAGTGTAGAATAATAAATTCCTTGGCCTAAGATTTATTCCATTCATATACCTAAAAATAGTTAATGAACACAGTAAATAAAACAAGGATATATGAATTTGCAACGTATTACAAACTCTTGCCAAGGTTTATAAACAAAAAAGGTTAGATTACGCTCATAAACCTAAAAGGGATTTATATAATTGTAATAAATAGCTAATGAACATTTATTATTCTAGATTTTTCTTTTTACAGTGTATGCTTATTATGATAGTAAACGTATTCTCGAAGATTTACTTATTATGAAGCTACAAAAAAAAATATTCAAATTTTGAATAAATGAAATTGAATTCGTCAATTCGAAACAAACAAACAGATGTTGATAATGATATTCGACAACCTAAAAATATTGATTTTATCGATTGTAATATTATTTATAATCGATAAGCCTTAATATAATCGTTTTAAATTAAAAAATTAAATGTAATAATTAATTCGAAAAGAATCATTTTTCTTTTGATATAACTATTTCTTTTAGTTAAATAGAAAATATTAACATAAATCATTGTATGCATATTATAACATAAGAATTGAAGTATTATAGAAAATACGTAGTTAATGAAATCACAAAAACTACCAGCAAAAAACACTTCTTTAGATTATGCACATTCTATATATATACATTGGCTGGTACAGAACTGTGTGAGGGTGAACGAGTGTGTGTAACGTGAAGCAGTACTGAAAATTGACAAGAATCTGAGCAGCGTAATTTATTATTTGATAATCATATAATTAATAAATAATTCGAATTTTTCATTTTTTCGGTTGACTTCACACAACAATCAAAATGATATTTATTTTTATTGATATTACATTAAAACAAAATTATTTATAACTATTTTTTCTATTCTGTTTGAATGCAAATATATGAATAGTGACTATAGGAAAGTGTTTCATTATATTAATTAATATAATCGAATGTATTTTGGTATCTATTACGAAATTTCAGTCATTTTAATTTACAAAACTCCCTGATAAATAAAAATCCCACGTCTAGAAAACAAAATGACCCTGTTCGATAAACTTAAATCAATTAAATTTCTACACTACTCATCTAGTACAACGATTGGTAGTCAGATGCGTGACATTCATTTGATTAGTCTCAAAACAATGAATATCTTTATTTCTATCAAAGTAGTGTTTTACAAAAATGATATTATTGGATAAGTATACAATCTCATCAAATTGGCGAAAACTAATCAAAACGACAAACCACCATCAGATTACGTCAAAAACAAAATCATTCAAGCGTAGTTGAAAATCTGAATAACGTACTTTATCGTTTAGTAAAAAGACTATTTATGTGACTAATAATTTACAATTGCGTTAAAGACTACTGATTATTTACAACGATTGAATAGTTTGTTATCTAAATGTTTTTTTTATTTAACTCGATCAAAATAAAAAAATGATTTACATAGCTTGTGGGAGAAAATGTCTCCTTTTTGACGTTTATTTATCGTATGATCAAAATTTTTATTTACAATATTTTATCTTGTGTTTTATTCGTTTGTTTTTTTTGTCAATGAATACATAAAAAAAACCAACAAAAGAAAAATCAAAACAAAACATATCGAACATAAAAAATGAAAATAATTGCTTCAATAAAGAAATGCTGCATTGTCTTTTAATTGTCTAAGCATATTAGCTCGTCGCATTGAATCTGATATTGTTGGTCGATTTGCTAAAAATTTATCATGAAGATTTTGTTGTTGAAAATAATCCGAAGATTGTCTTGCTAATGGAACTAAATCAGGTGGTGTTGAAGATACTTCAATAACAGAAATAGCTTCATCTTTAATTGATGATGTTGTTGTTGTCATCATTAATTGTCTTAAACTATGTGTCCATTCAGTTTCATAAATAGGTGTTGATATATCAGACGTTGAAGTATCATTATTATTATTATTTATTGTTGGAAGAACTGTTTCATAAATATTTGTACTATTTGAATTTGTTTGATTATTATTGTCATTCTCAGATGAAGATATTTGAGTTACATCAATTGATACAACACTTGCTGGAATAGCACGTTCATGTGGAGTAAAACGACGTAAAATATGTGCACGATCATTTGTATTTTTTATATAAGAAAATGGGCGAGAACATACACCTAATCAATTAATAATATTTAATTCGAAATAGATTTGATTTCTTTTTTCTTACCTTTAACAGATAATGAAGAAGCATTATTAGTCTTATCAATAATAATATGATTTTTTAGTGATGGATTACTAAGATCACTTTGTACAGTTGAAACTATTTAAAAAAAAAAGAAGAAACATCAAAACTACAATTTATTTTTAAACTTACGTTTCTTATCATTTGGTGATGTTCCTGGTCCAATAAATGAACGAAATGAACTACATGGTGATATTGGACTAACAAGGGTATCAATTGTTGTACAACTTGTGTCCATATTTGTACTTGTTGTCATTGCTTTACTATTGATTAAATGTGGGCATGAGTCATATAATTGTGAAAAATCAGCTACATCACTTGGGTGACGTCGTATGAACGCAATTTTTTTTGAATCGCCATTAACTGATTCATCTGGATGTTTCAATTTTTGACGAAGTTTATATGACGAATGTCGACGACTATGATGATAACATAAACAACATGATTTTGGAGGTAAACAACAATAACAACAACAACATGATGTAGCTAATAAAATAATTAGACCAATGATTGCAATAAATAAAAGTAAACCAATGATACCATAAACGAGATAAGTGTCAAATAAAGCAGATGATGTTGAAAAAATAAATTGTTCATCCATTATGATAACTAGACGAATAAAAATGTAAAAGTTATCACCTCCAGTTCTACAATAAGTGTATCTTGAAATGTCTCATGTATATATATATATATGGACTACTTCAATTTTCAAGTAAACGGTGAAAGAAAGAGAGCAACATATGTCATTAAAGATGTTGATGAGAGAAAGAGAAGAAAAGAGTATCGAATAGTAGGTTAGAGTCACGTCTACATTTGTATGAATAATTGGAGCATACAAACACAATAAATGCTCGCACGAGGCAATGTTTATCCATGGTGTGTAGAAGAGAATATATCGATCTCGTGTGAAATATTTTCTCTTTAGCGACTGACATAAGATAAAATTGAGTTTTTCGATTAATTCACTTAATCTAAAGGTTTTTTTTTCTTCCTTTGTTTTATTTAAATTGGACAAGTGTGTAGCAGATCTAGAATTTGAATATGCATCTCGAGATATAACCAACATTTCGTCTCGTACATTTTCAGGGTCAATTGTAAGAAGAAGGAGTAACTATAATAGTGTTATATCACATGCAAATCATTTTCTTTGAATTATGTTGAACAGAGAGTAAAAAGAAAAGTAATCTGTTATGTATACATTCATGTACATCGTCTTATACGTACTATTTATGTTAAAAGTATTCAAATGAAATTTTCACGCACAATAAATCTGTTTTATATATATTTAAATAAGAATACTTAAGATGGATTAATTATTATAAAGTTTAATCTCATTGAAATGTTTGTCACAGTTAGAAATATAATTCAATTCATTGTCAAGATAAAAAATAAAATAGTTTATTTTAAATGTATCCAATTTATTTTTTTACATGAAAAAAAAAAATTTTTGCATCACATCATCTATATGCTCATACACATGAATATCATAAAGGTTCATTTGAAGATTTAACAGTATATATATATATAAGAATAAGAAATCAATATCAGAACATCGTACTCACCTCTATTGTATGTATGAATGTATGTCTACTATTGACTTTATCGAATGACAGCAATATGTAGACAGTGCATGATGATGATGAACGTTAAACTATTTCCCGGTACATATTATGGTGACAGTTCGAGCCGACCGTATCTAATCCTCTTCCTTACTTTAGCTCTTTCGAAATAAGAAGAAAAAAAAAAGTAAGTGACCGACGGCCACTCGCTTTCGTCGCCCATCTGTTTGCTTGACCTTTTAATTGAGCACACAATATAGCAACCATTGTGGACATGCTACTTATACTTTTCGTAGTGTACATATATATGTATGTATATATATATGTATACTTATATGACGTCAAGAGAGCTAGAAAAAAAGTAGCTACACAATAGGAGTATCTTGTGATTGCAGGAAACAACATGTAGAAAGCAACGTGTACGACACTATGCTTTATGCACATCGCTTCTCGCTTCACTTGTTTTTGTCTCACATTATATAAATCAAAAAAAAAAGACATCAATCATTATACATCATCATCCTTCTTTGTACATATACCTATAAGTATTGCAATACAAACTATAATATCGTTGACTATTATAAATAAAAATGGCGTCATATAGTGATAATGAAACAGGTTTTTCTGAAAGTGATATTCATTTTGCTCGTAAAACATTCTTCCGTGATTGCCCAAATGGATATTGTTCAAAACGAAAATTTCTAACATTTATTAGAAAATCAGCCGTACAGACATCAGTGCAAAAACCAACACTACCAACACTATTTTTTCAAACATTAGCAACAAGACAAAATCATCGACAAAGTAGAAAATTTTTTTCTATGATGTTTGATATCTATGATCAAAATCATGATGGACAATTAGATTTTAATGAATATCTTTATGCATTATCAGCGTTAACTGGAGCTAATCGTTTACGTACGATTGAAACACTATATAATTTTTTTGATATAAATAATCAAGGTTATATAACACGACATGAATTTAATTCACGAAAAAAATTAGCTGCACAATTTCTTGGTCAATATAAAACTGGTATTAAGGATAATTTATCATATGAACAAGCATTTAATACAATGGATACAAATAAAGATGGACGAATATCTAAAGAAGAATTTATTCAATGGCATTTACGAGATCATTTAACACCAGATGATGCTAAACCGGTGAAAAAACGTACTCGTATTTTAAAAAACTTAACAACTTTAGTCGATATTCGTGGTCAAATCAAAACATCATCATTACAAAATCATGATAATAATAACAATAATAAAAGTCCAATTGATGCTTGGTTAGAAACAACAATGAACGCAAATAGTCAATTCGAGTATGATTTTCTTTTATTTATTTCCATGATTTTATTTGTTTTTTTCCTCGTATATATTAGTCTCTCTTCAATACCATCATCACCAACATCAGCTAATGCTGATAGATATTTATTAAAAGTAATTCGTCGAGCACGAAAGCATTTTGTTCAAAATAAAAATACAATAAATGGTGAAACAATCAATAAAAAACCAATTTCAACTGATAATCAATCTGATTCAGGTGTATTTACTTTATCATCAAGAACAAATATTAATGATGATTTTGAATCAAATAGTTTACTTGATATTGATGAAGATTATTCAGAATCAATTGGTGTGTATGATCCAGAAAATGAACTTTTATGTCAATCATTCGAAAACGCTCTAATGAAAGCATTACTTGAATTAAAACAAAATAGAGAACAACGATCAAATAGTTATGATACCAGTGTAACTGTCGAAGATGACTATCAATCAATAATAACTCGTTTATAATTATTTCATTCTTGTAAATAGACGAATTTAAATTATTAAAATCGACTTTAAAGTCTATTGATAAGATTGAAAAAAAAATAGAAAGTTTTTAAATTTTTTCTACACCTTTATCACCAAAATAAACAACATAGGTTAGCTTTACAATTATTCTATTTACTATTGTCGTTAGATCTCATATTTTTATACTACAAATATATGTTTGATTCATTTATTCTGAATGTTTCAGTTCTATAGAATGAGAACTCATTAAGAAAAAAATGCACATATGCCATATATACTGATATAGCAATGAAATCAAAAATTATTTTGTTGTGCTTGTTGAAATTTCTTTTCTTTTTTTGAGTAAATTAGGTTGTCCGAATTTTATGTGTACTGTTACGAACTTTTTTAATAGGTTTCTTTTCAAAATGCTGGAAAAAAAAATTTTGGGAGAGGAATTTATTTATAAAAGATTGAAGTTATTGAAAAAGAAAAAGCATACAATTTAACAAACAGCAAATTTCGATTTCTCTGCTATATCACATTAGAAAAAGCGTAGAATAATAAACCGTACGAAAACGATTTATTAGCTTCATGAATGTACACAAGTTTATCAAATCAGAATAAACTCTAAAAGGTTATATATGAAAGTGTAATGATCCAAATAAACCTTTTTTCATAGAATTTATTATATTACGGTTATTTTTATATGATAGCATACGAATCATAAATATACTTTTCTCAACACATAATCATTTTGTAGAGCTGAAACTGTTAAAACAAGCCTAGTAATCAAAGATGCGTCCATGACACAAATATGAACTAAAGTGATAATTGTACAATAGAATAATAGTAGAAATAACAAGTGTAGTTTATTTTGGTCGGGGAAGTATATATACTGTTTGAAGGTTACACATATTTATCGCATGACACATTTATAATTACAGATACAAGGTGATATTTTTTTCAGTAATCACCCTGTACGAATATAAATTGAAAGATCAAAGTTCAAAGGTTTTTTGAATATGTTTTTACAATTTAATTTTAGATTTTTCTAGATACAATTTATTGAGAGACTATTTATTATTAGAAGAACGTCAAATGATTGGTGTCTTTTAAAGAATAAAATTTTATTGTAAAAATATTTTCATTTTGATTCATACATTTGTATAAATAAAGAATAAAAATTTATATTATAGTTACATTGTTATGAATTATATTTCTTTGAAAATGATTTTTTTTGGCCTTGATCAAATATATTTTCTTTCTTTTATATGTGAAAGACGTTAATTGATACGTACTATACTTTTTTATCTAGTTCAATTAACTGACTCGACAAAACAAGTACTGATTGCACACGCAACGATGTACAATGAGTAGCTTTCTTGTAATAGACAAGCGTGTTGTTTGCATGGTTTGAAATAGAATTTCAATTGTCCAGAAGTGATCATATATGACGTGAAAAATTATCTTTCAGAAAATAAAAATATTTTTTCAAAGAAATACTTTTTATTAGAAAATATACTTTGCTGTACAATATCAGATACAGTTTCGCGTGCTGATTGTGAATATCAGCTTTGTTTTTTCTTTTAACTAAGACGTTATTTTAAAGACAATAGTATAAATCTAGTGGTAGAACATCTGAGTTTTTGGGAGCCATTAATTCAGTCAATGTTCACTGGCTCTATTCGATAGTGTAATCAATGCAAGATTTCACATGCCGGAAATATTTGCTGAAAATTTGAACGCAATTGAACTGTAGCAAATCGTAAAGTTAACATAATCGAGAAAGTCAACTTTCGGGAAAATTTTTAACGAAAATATACAAACAGTTTTTCTGTAAAAAATGAATATTACACATGATTCCGATACAATTTGACGATCTAATTCTGAATATCAACTTATTTTTTGCATAAAAATAATATGCCTTGTTTGCAAGAGTACGGATTTGAAGACAACAAAATGTACTCTTTGGGAGAGTAATAGCACCGGCTGTACTGATAAGTGGAAGATGGTGCTGTGTTCAATGACGAGCCAGACACGCAAGAATAATTGGTGAAAATTTGAGCTGAATCAGATTAGAATTCTTTCAAACGTTCAGAAAATACGGTATAACAAATTTTTCAACCTAACTTCGATCTTCTAATTGTTTTTGTTTTTTTCTTCATTTATAGTTCGATAGAAATGGTTTTTTAAGTCAATGAAGCTTATGAGCCAATCATTTATTTTGGATGGTGTTTCATTTTAAAATATTTTGAGAGGTTAACGACATAAGTGATCACCGTATAATTACTAATTTCAAAAGAAATTTTGGAGATGGGCTTCACAAAATTCGAGTTGATTTTAGAGATTTATCTTTACAGTGAAATACACTAATCATATATGTATTCATTCCAATATTTAAACTTTAGAAGATATAACTTTCAGCTTGGTTCTTCTGGTTATCTAATGTACAATGGGCACGATAAGGCGATGGACTGGTGATCCATCATCATCTCTACATCCTCAGTACTGATAGAACTCTCTCGTGTGGTTTATATGCATCAGATGATTCTTGTAATAGTCTAAAATTTTTTGGAACAAATGTTTTGAAATAATATGTTGTTGATTTCAAGAGTGTAACTGTTGAACAGAGAAACTTCGATAGAATAGAAAGAAAATATTTCGATGATTTAATTCAATCATTTATATAGTATTGAAAATAAGATTTATCATTTTCGTAAGCTCGAATAGGATGATACAGATACTCAAACAGATCAAGTTTTCGTAGGCTTGGTCTACACCATGACAGACTATAAATTTAGTCAGGAGATCATCTGCATAAGAAGACGTGTATGTCGAAATAGCATGACCCTATGAAACATTTATAGATTTAATACAGTATCTATCAATCAAGACTACACCAAAAGGGAAACATTCACATTTACAGAAAAACTATTGTTGAGTGAGAATGTTTTCAATAAAGTCAATGAACTAGCTGAAAAACATATATCAAGTCTTGCTATATAAGAATCAAATATATATGAATTAGAACAGTATAGAATTCAGTGAAACGATTTACATAAGATGATAGTAATAATTAATTAGAAAGCATGAGCAGTCAATTATTGAAACGGAGTAACCAACTAAATAAATAAATAATGTATACTGAAGTCATTATTTATCATTAGTCATGATTTTACCTAGTCAAAACGATTAAAAAAAACATTTATTACCTTGTAGCAGCAAAGATACTTAGCTGTATTGTTTGATACCTAGATTTTCTGCTCGAAAAACAAAGTTATCCCACTGAATCAGCGACCTAGCTAGGACATCACAAACTCAAAAAGCCGGGTCTGTGTCTGTCTCAGATAGAATGACAAGCTCCATGATCTGCTTCTATTTCTGGAAAAAAATCATATTTTTCGATAAATACAGTACAAAGAAGTATGATTCTAAAGTAATCAAAGATGGATTATTTGAAAAAGTGAACAATTTGAATGTGATTAAAGCATTTGCAGCTTATCCATTAGGAATGAAAAAATCATTTTTATGATTTTTTCCAATAAACATTGATATTTATGATTTAGCGATACGCTTTAAGCTTAAGTTAATAAACAACATCATCATTGAAGTAATATTCTAAACTCTTGTCGAATAGGTTGATAAACTTTGTTCAATGACAAATAATAAATATAAGGTAGCAAGGAGACTACTGTTAGCTTTGATTTCTGTTTAATATAATAATAACATTGTTATATTAAATAATGAAGATAANCAAGCTCCATGATCTGTTTCTATTTCTGGAAAAAAATCATATTTTTCGATAAATACAGTACAAAGAAGTATGATTCTAAAGTAATCAAAGATGGATTATTTGAAAAAGTGAACAATTTGAATGTGATTAAAGCATTTGTAGCTTATCCATTACGAATGAAAAAATCATTTTTATGATTTTTTCCAATAAACATTGATATTTATGGTTTAGCGATACACTTTAAACTTAAGTTAATAAACAACATCATCATTGAAGTAATATTCTAAACTCTTGTCGAATAGTTTGATAAACTTAGTTTAATGACAAATAATAAATATAAGTAGCAACGAGACTACTGTTAGCTTTGATTTCTGTTTAATATCATAATAACATTGTATATTAAATAATGAAGATAAAAAAAAACAATTGATAAAAATTGACGTGGAACAAAACTAAATTATTATTAGATTGAATTAGATATAAGCAAGCAACTTTATCAACACAGTCATTTAGATACTCAATTTTTATTAAATCAAGTTGATGTCAATAAAAACTTCATCAAATGATCTCAGATCGTAGTAGTATTTAAATAAACAAATAGGAAGTCTCAACAAATAAAAAATTGTCTATATAAGTCATTAATCAAAATCGCAACACACCAAAATATAAACTATTACAGATATATTATAATTTTGTTGTCTATTTTCCTTCTCTTTGCAGTTTAATGATTAATAAATTTATTTTTGTTACTTATTGATCCTTATTTGTAAACGACAATATATTGATGTTTTGCTTTCATATCCAAAGTAATATGATACTTCATTTCTATATTGTTATATATTATATTCGATAACTTTAAATGCAATTAACTGATCAAATCCTATTTTTATCTTATTGTTATTGAATAAATATACTGAAAATAGTTTTAATCTTTTGAATACCTAAAGATTTTATATTGAGTCCTTGAGATTTATCGATATCAGTCAGTTCGTAATAAATCTTGTTTTTTTAGATAGGTGCTGGTGAATGGGATAGAAAATTCCAAACAATACAATCTTCAATAATAAAGCTGAATTATTTTATTATATTTTCATTAAATTTTGCATAATGAAAATTAACTATTTATGATTTTCTACATGGAAATTATAATTTTTATTATGCCTTGTGAAATAAAGTGAGCTTATAAAGAACTTGTATGAATGACAATAATCTAACGTTTTAGTACTTCAGTGAGTCCATGCAAGTACAATTGCAAACATTAGAGAATTTATGGAATCATCATGTA